CTAGCCACAACATCACATTGAAGGCTCATATTCATCTTGTGGTCAATCAAGACCCCCAAGTCCCTTTCATCTGTAGTGCTAGCCAGCGTAGCACGGCTGAGGATAAGACTGCTGAGCCTCAGACACAGGTTGACAGAGCAGTATGGGCCAGGCAATCAGGGCTGCCCTGTGCACTGCTGCCATCTGTCCCTGGATGAGTGTGTAGGGCTCCCTGGATGCACAGAATCAGTACTGCAAGCTCTCCACTCCTCTGGGGCTTAGCATTTGAATGTTTGCCTCGGGGTGCTCCGGTTTTATTTTTCTACTGGGAAAGAAACCTGGGAAAATTCTCTCAGATCATTTGAACATATGTAGCCAGCCTATGTTTATTTGGTATAAACCACATGTTTAAAGTGCCAGCAAGTCAGAACACATACCTTTCCATCAAACACCATTTCATAACCTTCTCTGTTCTTTATTTTATTATATAGATATTCTGCAAGTTCCAAGCACTTGTCAACCTGTGCTTCAAATCCTATAGTTCCCTGCATTAAAAAGAAAGAAAAGAAAAAACATGAAGTTTGTGTCTGTCTACATTCTGACTGATACTGTGAAAGGAATATATAGCATTTTGCAAAGCAGTGGTACAGATTACTTTTTCTTGCAAAATTCTGGTTCCAAGATGCTGAGATTGCTGTGAACAACCAACCCTAGCTGGTACTAGATTATTCCTTTTGGAGTCAGAACTTTCAATAAGTTATCCAAAAGAAGTAGTTGAGCAATATCAGTCTTGTTTCAGGTGGAACATGATGATATCTCTCACTAGTAGCCAACTTTATTGGTAGCCTCTGCAGAGAGGTTAAGGACCTGATAGGCATGACTGGATAGGAAAGGAGCATGAATTTCTTCTTTGTCGGGGTTGAGTTACATGGTGGATAAACTTGCTCTCTAGCTTGTGGCTTGAAGATTTAAGCCTACAGGAATGACATTTTTACAGAAAATCCAGCTTTAAAATTAAAAATATGCTTTTACAGATCAGTCTGATGCCTGGTGAAAAATGGATCTTCTGTTCAGTGCAGCAGTATTGTCTCTCCTCTTTTCTATTTGATAAGGTATGGATTAGAGATCTTTGTTTTGCTCCAGCAGTCCTTTCTGGTTCTTTTCCAGCTAAAGTCATAATCTTTGTTTGTAACATCATAATCACTTCTTCAGTCACCAGCTGTGATGCCACAAATAAAGACTTATGCTGAATAAGCAGCTGGAAAGGATAAATTGGATAAAAAGAGAAACATTGGTTCTATTTTGATATAAACGTTCCATGTTAAAAAGAAGTGGGGTGCAGGGACAGAAAAAGTAGTATAAGACTGTAAAGCCTATAGGAAAAAGAGTCTATAACAGCTGATCAGACTCTCAGCCCTACCAGTCTAATACTGTATGTATTGCTCTGGCAGTGTCAAACAGATTTAAAACTCTTTTTAGTGGTCCTTTGTATAAAGGAATCTTGCAAAAGTGTAAAGCCAGCATAGCCTTAGGTGAAGGGGGGCTGGCCAAAAGGAGGGTGGGACCAGGATTTCCTTGTGCTCTGGAGACCCCCAACTACTCCAGCAGCTCATAGGGGGTTATTTTGGATAGCCAAGCTCAATTGAAGCTTGAGTTTTCTTTTGAAATCTTGTGGCTAGACTGCTGCCTAGTGACTTGAGGACCAGGATAACAAGAGATGGCTTATATCTAACTTTGTAGTTTTCCACAGCTTCAGTATAGTTTGATGTTGGTACCAAAGATCTGTCCCAGAATGTTTTTCAGAACTTTAATATGGTACATGAGGGTCTGTGGGCATGTCTACCTCTTATAAGTCAGATTAGCCTAAACTCGCCATTTTTAAGGCACATTAGGGGCACTTATCCACAGGTATGCACCCTTAATGCAGCTTAAAAATGGTGATTTTAGGTTAATTCTGCCTAAATTTGATACTTGCATAAAGCAAGTATCAAATTTAGGCATGAATAGCTAAGTTGCATTAGCCCATGTGTAGACACTTAATGCACATTAATGTGTCTTCATGTGGGCTAATGAAACTCAGCTATTTGCACCTAATTTAAAGTACCTTAATGAGCATTAGCATGTCCACATGTAGATGTGCACCTAAATCTTCTTAACATGCCTTAAGCAAAGGTGCATTAAGTTTAGGCGCATGCAAATACACGTGTAGATACACCTTGTACGTCCTTTTTTGGAGGGGAACAATCAACTGCACTGAATAAATCTAAGACAGTTTGATATAATAACATGAATTCATACACTAAAATATGTATTTGGCAACATTTAAAAAACAAGGATACATTAATTCATGTGAGTCAGTGCTTTTAGATTTCTCAGAGCCATGTCTCCAAAAGAGCAGATTTTAATTAGTTTCCCCATATTAGCAAAATAATTCTGCTATAATTACTGCATAAAATGGAACCAGGTGTTCTAGTCTGACTTGTCATGTTTAATTTTAGAACATCATTAACAAAAAATCTTTGCATTCCAGAAACTTTCTGGCCTCATTACACTTAAACAAAGTATTTATACAATCAGGTTGTTAAAGTTAGACGTGGCAAATGCTGTGCTTTATCATTGAGTCTGAGTTTCGCAATCATTTATGGTCCCTTGTAGCTAAAATGGGTAAAGGTGAAGTACAAGGAAAAAAAATCAATAATAATAAAAAGAATATCTTATTATTGCTCTTTCTTTCATCTACTATGTGGTAAGTTCAGATTAAAAAACACTACTAAAATGGCGATATAGAAAGTAGAGCTGTGTCTGGTGTTCACTGCTTTGATTCAAATGCATCAGATATTTGCTTACCTTTGCTCTCCACATCAGCCATAGCTTGAAGACATCAACATGACGTCCACACTGTAAAGCCTTGTCTCCAGTGTCATAGGACAAATCATAGTGTTTATCTTGTTGAAAGAGGTAGGAAGCATGCATTTGATTGCAGCTCTGCATCAATCCCTTAAAGAAGCAGAGATGTGATTTAGAAAAACTGGTATGTGCATAAGTTTACTACTTAGCTTTCTTTCTTGATCAGTGTTTTTTCTTTCCCTTACTTAACCTGTCCAAGTGACCTTGGAAGGCATTCTTTCTCTTAAGGCAGGTTGGCCAAGTTGGTTGCAATGGCTGTTGCAAATAATGCCATACTATTCCTTGAGTCTGTGTCCAGAAGGCTCTTTGCCTTGCTTTCTCTCTGGTTGCAGGTAATTCCAATGCAGATGGTCTATATAAGGCCCTTGCTCCCCTTGAGCTATAAAACAGGGGATTATAGGAGCTGTATGTGGTGTGGAAGAATTGGGTAGGCTAGGATCAGTACTGAGTTAAACAAGGAGTTAAGTGCTGCTTCTGAAGACAAGTGGTTCTAGTCTGACCCTGTTAGAGGTGGCAAAATATAATTTTGAAAGGCAACCTTATAATGTGCATATCCTTTGGATGAGGGCTAGTGGTTGGCTAAGGCAAGGGCAGCTGTATCAGAAAAAGCATGAAGCTAATAATGTTTTAATTTTCCTTTTTATATTTATGCATGATGTAAATTGAACCAAACCATGGCTCTATTGAAGTATTTGTAAAGATCATCCTTAGACTGCTTCATAGCACTGCATTTTGCAGTCAACAAGGAGTGAGAATTTGGGCTTTTATTTTTTGGATTTACCTGTATATGTAGCTCAGCAAAAAATCTGATTGAAAAAAATGAAGGCGAAACAATACACCAGCTATGTTAACATACACCAGCTATGAGAGTTATAGAGCAAGTATCCAGAATATTCAGGGAAACATGCAAAAGATGCAAGAGGAAGACGTACCTCTTCTCTAACTAACAGGGCGGAACACTGCAATGGGACGCCCATCATCTTGTGTGGATTCCATGTCACAGAATTGGCCCTACAACAATGAACAATTTTAAACTGAGAATTATACACAAGGGGGAGATCAGTAAGACAGTAATAAGTGAAAGTAACAAAACTTATATAGGGCTCTACTTTTCCTCAGGAACCAAAGTTGCAAATAAGACCAGCAGTTTTTAGAAGTGTGAAATGTTCAGAAAAGGCCCATCATTACCATTTAACATAGATGTAAATTTACTCATCCATGCTCCTTTGCTGAATAAATATTGTTGTATAGTTAGGACTAAAAGATCCTGGGCCTGGAGATTTAATTTCGAATAAGTTTGCCATTCTCTAGACTTTGCAAATTCTACATTTCTAGGGAGTCATCTATACTTTTGAATTATAGTCACTATTGCAGATGGAGGTGGGGAATGATTTTTAGGACCAGTTTTATCAAAGGTATTTTAGATACCTAAAGATACAAATAGGTGTCCAGTGGGATTTTCCAAACTACCTAACAGATGTGGTACTCCATTCCCATTGACTTCAGTGAGAGCTGGGCATTTAATTCACTTAGGCACTTTTATCTGCATCTTCAGAGATGTAAGGGGCATGATAGCGCTGCTCTTGAACATTCCCTGCCCACCCACTCCTGCTGACATGCTCCAAACTCCAAAATATGCCAACAAGGCCATTCTGGGGCTCTGAGTCCACTCTTGAAATGTCAGTCTTTGTTGTGCTTGAAAGCAGCCACTGGAGATGTCTATGGAGCAGCCTCACTAACATTTTCAAGCTTGCAGCCAGGAATTGGGAGCAGATGGGAGTCAGGTTCAGAGGTGTCCAGCCAGAGCACGCAGCCTCCCTGGTTTAGATATACCATAGGAACCTTTGAAATTCTGGCCTTTGCCACATTTCAAGAGAGGTTTAGGCTCCTCAGTCACTCAGGTGCTCTTGAGAATTTTCACCCCAAAGGCCAGAAGGTCGGCTGACATAAATCGTCAATGCTCCGCTGGCTTCAAACAAACTATGAAAATGAACTCAATTTGAGGATCTGTCCTAAAATGGCTGTGGCAACGAATTTTGGATTATCTCACACAACTCTTTTACCCTCATTCCTGCTCTCTCCATTTGTCTGGGGGTGTGAACAGTGTAACATGCTTGAAAATTGGTTATGAGCTTATGAGGTCCAGACACAATGCAAAATTGCTGCTCTCCAGCCAAATGGTGTTACAGGGGGCTGTGGGGGGAACTGCTCTCAGTCTCCATCCTTTGTCAGAACAGGGGTACTGGAGATGCCTCCACCCTAGAGCTGTAGTGAGTTCATCTGGTGCCTGAGGAGGAGGGAGGGGTGGGGGAAAGAGGCCACATCAGATGGGGAATGGTGGCAGCATGGGTGAGGGGAAGGGAAGTGCTGAAACTGTTCAGCATCAGCAACAGCAGCTCTGGCGGCATCTCCATGTCTGGGCTTTCTGGGAGCTTGATGTCCCACTCTTTCCTCCACAACCCCAATTCATACATATTGGGATCAGGGTTCTGCCTGCTCTGACAAAGGCTCCCTGGCCGGGGCGGGTGCCCTGCTTGCCCTCATTATGGGTCAGGCCCACCCCCACTGGAACCACAGAGGTGTCCAGGTGCTGGATTTCCACTGCTGCTCCTGGCATTTTGGGGTAAGGGTGGCAGCAGCAGAGGCTTACCTGCCTCATGCAGGATCTTGGTCTCGTTCATCAGCAGTGGCAGCCAGGGGTGGGGGAGTGCCCTGCTCCAGGGAGGTGCTCATAGTCTGCTTCACTCCCCCTCCTCCTCCCATGTATGTGTATGCATGTGGTGAAGTGAATGGTGTACCATGGGATACTGGAGGATCCAGGGGTCCCCTGTCATGCTCCCTACGTGTATGGAGCAGTGATGCACTTCAAAATAGTACCCAGTGCTTCCAGCACTTTTGGAACATTTCAAAGGGCTTGCATGTTTGTACAGCTGGCCCTTCAAAACATTTCAAAGGCATCTGAAACATTTCACTTGTTACTTCTGCCCATACCTATTGGTTACCAAGAGGGCAGAGACTGTGTTAGAAAGTGATTTGACTTATTTGCTAGCAAAAATTACGGCTCCCAAGGTGGGTACAAAAATATCTGGACTGAATGACTAGCTTTGCTCTATGAGTAGTCTCCAGAGATTACTGCTGGATTATTAATGTACATATATAATATGACTTACATTAATATTAGTTATGGGGGTACATTATAATCTGCATGCTAAATTGACTGAGATAGAAGAGCTTTCATTTCATTTCACTCCTTTCTCTATAATTTTTAATATTGTCTTGCAGCCTCCTGTCTGGTTTTTCCACCCATCTCCAGGAGGAGTGAAAATTAAATAATCTGTATCACCCTTACAGATGACACAGGTTACTCTCCCTGGTATTCTGTGCAGGACTCTTCCCACTCCGCAGATACCAGTATAGGAGGGGGAATAAAGGACCTGTGGTGGCTGCTTTCCTACAATACAGGAAAAGAAGATGATATGCTGCTCTCCAGTACTCCCAGTTTTCAGCACCATTAGATGTGCCCAAAATCTAGCCCAGAATTTGCCAGGGGCAACATGTACCCCAGTATGACCCAGTGCCCTCCCTTTTGAAGACACAAATATCTGCAGATACTGTTTTGCACCCCCAGTTAATTGTAACACAGTTTGGGTCCCTCCCATCCCTGCCTTCTAGATTGTACCTGCAAATCCGACTTGTAGCTTCCAGTGTCTACACGAGGGAGCTGGTGGAAGGGCATTCTCTGCTAGAGGCCCTTGGCTGAAACTGATGCCTCTTTCCATAAAAGCTTGAATCTGTTGGCTTTCAGGGGTGTAATATCTAGTCGACCAAAAAAGGCCCCCAGTTTGAAACTAAAAAATGGAGGCACATGCTTGAGCAGCTGGCACTGAAGGGATAGCTTTTTTTCTGTCTGGGAGATCTTGGAAGCAGTGATTTGGATGTATACACATCGTTATCATTTTCTCACAGATTGCTTCTTACTGTCTCCAAACAGGCAACTATCAAATGCTGTACCTGGACACAGTGGAATACAAATACATCTACACTTTCCTTCCTGCTATTTAAACAGGACTATGCAGGCACCTGATGCAAAGCCTGTGAGGAATACTCTTTCACAGGCAACATCTGGCTACTTGGCTCAGCTCTCTGAGCAACTGGCAGCTTTTAATCAACTCAGAGTCAATCATCTGGTTAGGGTGCCAGAGCAAATGATTCCAAACTAGCATCTGAGTTTATAAATCTCCTTTGATATGAAAGCTATGAACTTCATCTGCTGTAACCCAGACACATGCAAAAAAAAAATTTAAGATCTCTCTGAGCAATAGAGGTGACTTGTTTTTGGTTTGTTTTTTACTAACAGAAAGGTTGTTTACCAACAATGATGCCCAGGTGCCAATTTTCTGCCTAAGTCATCACATTGATTTTCAAGTCATCCATTGCCAAAATTCTTCCCAGTTACATACAAAGAATTGTAATTAGTTAAAGGAGAAGTCATGATTTTTTCACTTTGTCACAGAGTGCTGGTCACCAACCACTGATATATACTTAAATAAAATGCTTACTGATGACAACACTTAAGAAAAACAATTATATAGGCAAAAATGGAAAAAAGTGACAAATTCCTATTGGACCATTTGGGGTTTTGCATAATTTAGGTTGGTAGAATTTGGTCTACAGGCATTATTTGAAACTGGAGGGATTCACAGATATGTACCAACATCCAAAGATGGCCACATTAATTGTGTGTTTATATGTCATACTTTGATGCTCAGACTGGAATTTAAGGAAATAAGTTTCAATTTGATGTATGGTAACTAAACAGCAGTGTTTCCCAGCATGAAAATTCCATATGTGTGCTTACTTTTTCAAAACGGACACATGGCCAGTATATTTACACTCCACACTGCTGAGAAACAGGGTAAATCAGGTTATGCAGAACTTCATGCTCCCTTGGCTACATTGCTTCCAGTACCTGAGCTAGCTTCATTAAAGATAATTTGAGGTATCCGTTTTCATAGAATCATAGAATCAATGAGTCGGAAGAGACCTAGACAGATCATCTAGTCCGACCCCTTGCTATGGGCAGGAAGGAGCACTGGGGGTGGCAGAGGTCATAAGACTCCAGCCAGGTGCCTGTCCAGTCTCCTCTTGAAGATCTCCAGGGAAGGTGAGAGCACCACCTCTCTGGGAAGCCTATTCCAAGCTCTGGCCACCCTTACAGTGAAGTAGTTCTTCCTAATAACTAACCTAAACCTATCCTCCCTCAGCTTGTGACCATTGTTC